TTGACCCCAAATATCCCGAGCAGGCAATACGCAATATCCTCTTTCCTCTTGGTCACCCTATTTGCAGCCCAGGACATGCGTTGGGCAACGCTGGCATCGCGAAGATCAGCAGTGCCGAGAAGGAACGGTCGAGGGATACCCGTTATCTGAGCGACGACCGTCGACAACTGGCGTTTTGTACCTAGTAGCGACCAGTCTCTGTTGTAAAATCGAACGCGACTAGGGGCAAGGAGCTCCTGCAGTGTCCAACCTCTCTCGAACCAACGACTTCGGCGAAACTGGGACTCCGCATTCGAAGGATCGTCTATGGAGGACACATCGGCAAGGAATGCATAGCATACATCGGCCTTCTGGTACCATGTGAACATCGAGTTGATGGCCTCGCTCAATTCCGTTGAGTTGGTCTTGTCGATGCAGCACGTGTCCATCCAAGCGTAGTCGAGCTCATCTGCCACAGCCTGTTCGCAGAAGCCATCGAACTTATCTCGCCCTATGCCAGTCTTGAACACCTCATTGCCTTCTTGGATATCGCGGAACGAAATCTCTTCCTCATCACTCCCCCAGGTGTGTGAAAGAACCGCGTATGGGGGTGGCTCATGGAAGAACTCCTCCAGTCGTCCGGTCTGCACGTTGATAAGACGCATCGATTGCCTCTTCCAACCCGTATCGCGTGATGAGTATAGGATGTCGACCTGATTTGATCGCGACGCCGTCTGACGCTTGCTCTCGATATCGGGGTCTCCAATCAGATGTCGTTGGCTACCTAGTAGTTTTGGATTAAAACTAGAACGAGAGTAATTGGCCGGGAGGGCTTCGCTTGGGCGATCGATGGACTGGGTAGGAGATAATTAGCAACAGGCCGGCCTTTGATGTACATTTCGAACGAAGTTGGGATCTTGCCTACAGTTGGTCTGTTGGAAACGAGCATGAAGAGGTAAAGACTGGCCGAGGTAAGATGTGGCTGCGCAGGGCCTCGTACGTATTAATCAAACTGGCCCTTGACCGCATGCAACATGTTTTGGGGATATCAGCTGTCAGCAGCATATTACACACAGAAGAAGAAATTCGAGAGCATTCTTCCACCGCCTCATGGGGCGCACTTGCGAGGCGTCCATTCTAGCTCCTTGGCGAAGGTTACACAAGTTCCGCGACATTGAAGGCATTCTTTGGCATGCCCAAGGGGGAAAACAGCGGACTTTCAATTAAAGATCATTCTTGAGGGATGATTTCATGTTTCCTGTACGTTAAGATCATATCGAATCATGGTATTATGCTGCTACTTGGGGCTCGGAAGAGCCGCTTCTCTGGTTGTGCATACCCGTCAACGCCAAACGCCAAAACGTAGATGAACATATTACTCGTCGCCGCCGAGGTCCGCCAGGGTCTTGATTGCCGACGCCCTAGGTTGCTGTCGCGCACCGGGCGCGGCGCCTCTGCTCGACTTCATTGGCGGTGGGGGTGGGTTGACGCGGTTAAATTGCGACATCTCGGCCGCCTTCTGTGGATCAATCTACCAGTCCGTCAGCAAGCGATTCTTGTCCCCATCGCCGGCGCCTCCTTGGGACCAACTCACTGCAAACAAAGACACGAGGTACAGCCCGATAAAGGTGACAAGTCCACTGAACAGGCCACTAAGCTGCCACTGGATAGGACGCTGAAGGCTTGCGCGAGCAGCCTTGTCGCCGCCGAGGGTTCGTCCGGGGGTGCTGAAGGAGGCGCCGCTGCGGCCGCTCTTGTCGGGGAGCTTGAGGGCATTTTGGATCGCTTGCGTCAGGGCGGGAGGGTTCGCGCCCTTGATCGTCTCGACTGCCTGGCCGCCGTGGAAGATGATGAACGTGGGCATGGCGCTGACACCATGCGTACGGGCGATGCCGGATTGTTGATCGACGTTGATCTTGCAGAACGCAACCTTCTTCGGCTTCGAGTATTCTTTCGCAAGGCGCTCAAAGTGCGGCGCAATCATCTTGCAAGGACCGCACCAGTCGGCGTAGACTGTCACAATGGTTGGTCAGCGGGACCGGAAGCGCGGGGGAACGATTGTAGGCACTTACAGTCGGCAATCACGACATTGGTGCCGCTGAGGATGCCCTGCCACTCGCCGGCGGACTGTACACTGATGAGACTCATGATGGCGAGGTGCGATAAAAGAAACAGGAGTCAACGTAGCGACTTGAAGTTGAAAGGAACAGCTGGGCCGTTGTGTAGCTGACGGAAGCTGTCGCGACCTGGTCCTAGCGGAAAGGTGGCGGCTGCCAAGAGTAGAAAGCGGTCAGCTGCCGATCCGCCATTCTGCCGGCCAGGGGTCTAGCGTACCCCGGAATTGATACCGCCCACTCTGCGGGACCAGCTCAGAAAGTTTTTGGGAACCGCTAAAAGTTGCATCGACTTGCACCCACCATCAACAGCTCTGCAAGCAAGCCGCCGAAATGTCTTACGATCAGAGAACGAAGGTGGGAAAGCTGCTGCAGTTTTGATCTTCCTAGGGGAACCAACTGACTAGTAACAGCGCAGAAAAACCGGCGAGGACGAATATGTCGACACCACCCAGCCGTCGGCCAAGTTCTACGCCTACCCCGGAGGCCGTACCTGGACCGTCTCGGTTGCGATCCCTACCAGCATAATCGCAGAGTACGTTGCTGTCCAGCCTACAGGTTGCGAAGCAAAGCTAACCTGCATATAAAAGTGCCGTCAACGCTGAGCGCCGTACTGCCGTTGCCGGTCGCATCGCCCGTGCCCTTGGAGTCTTCGGCATCGACGAAGTCGTGATCTTCGACGACAGCCCCATCGAGACCCGCCCCAAGACCGTCGACAGGAAGGCTTACACCGGCGACATTGATCCCGGACACTTCCTCGAGCACCTCCTCGGCTACCTCGAAGTCCCTCCCTTCATGCGGAAGATGCTCTTCCCCCTCCACCCGAACCTGCGCCTCGCCGGCCAGCTCCCCTCCCTCGACATGCCGCACCACCCGAACCCGGCCGACTGGCTACCTTACCGTGAGGGTGTCGCCAAGAAGGGAACCCCGAAGGGCACCGAGCTTGACCTTGGTCTGAAGACGCCTGTCATCATCGAGGATGAGGTTCCGCCCAACACTCGCGTCACGGTCCAATTTTCGGATTACGACACTGAGAAGGCCGAAGCATGCGATCCGGCGGCGCCTAGGGAAGAGGGCGGATACTACTGGGGATACAGCGTGCGCAGGGCGGCCTCTCTTTCGGCGTTGTGGACAGAGTGCAAGTACGAGGATGGTTACGATATCAGCATCGGCACATCCGAGCGTGGGCGTTCCGTAGGCCAATCATTCCCTACGACGCCGTTGGACTTCAAGCACCTGTTGATCGTCTTTGGCGGCCCCAGAGGAATCGAGTATGCGGCGGTGAACGACAAGGAACTCGACATGGTTGATGTCTCTGGAGGAAAGACGAAGGAGCTCTTCGACCACTGGATCAACGTCCTTCCAGGACAGAACAGCCGGCAGATCAGGACGGATGAAGCGTTGTTCATCGGGCTTACGGAGCTGAGGAGACTCTGGTTCAACCAGTAGTCTTCTGTCATGTACGTCACTATATTAGACTGCATTGTGGCGGGCATATGATACCCAAATCAAAAGTTCTCATTTGGTTCAATCGAGGAGTAACGCGTCGAAGCTTTGTATTCGTATTGTTACGGCGACATTGTGAAGGTTTGCTGGGGTCGAACTGTCTATTATTCGATTATCTGGCCAATGTTGAGTATCATTTGTCCCCCCCGAGGGACCATTTTGAAGGAGGTCATATTGGGCACAGGTCCGACATTCACTAAGGTATTTCAGGATTTTTGGATTGCTAGTGCGTACCTTTTCCTCGTAGAAGGCGCAGCGCATCTTGTCAGCAAGAAGAACTCCAAGCACCAGCCGGAACCTGGACCGCAGCTTTCTTCTTGTTTAACATATTGATATGAAGCAAGCCCGATAATAGGGCAAATGGCCTGGAGATACAAGGTTCTAGTTCGCTCTAGTTCGTTAGTGAGAACTTGATGTGAAATCTGATTGCTGGTCGCGCCGAGTTGCAGATTTATCCCGCTCCCAATCTTTAGGCCTGTTCTTTCCTTTTTTTTTCTTTTTCCTCCATCTTTTCTCGATTACTATTCCAGGTCTATTTCACGTTGAAAGGTTCAAACATAATTATTTGTTTCTCAAGTAACCAAATATGCTTAGGCTGGTTAAAGCATCACCCGCTAGCTACATTGACCGACCACATGTGATGTTGCACTTACTGCCTTTGTCGTTTCGTGCTCTACAAAAGTCCCTGCGGTCCAGTCAAAATGGCTTGTTTGTCAACTGCGCATGCATGAAGAGCAGTGCAACGTGGCAGTTTGACGTGGTCTGGCGCAAAGAGAACCCCATAGGACCATCAAGCCGCCCCTTGGTCCCTTGTTTGGTGTGTCTGCCAAGAGGTAAAATGGGAACGTCTCACTTTGCTGCGAAACAAAATCGGTCCCTGAATCAACCCGGAACTCGTCAAATAGGCATTGCCTCACCCCGAGGAAGGACCTAAAGATTCTTCTACCTCTTTAACATAAGACCAAAGCGCCAAGAATCTGCAATCGGAGATCAATCACCTTGACACCAAAATCCATGACCCTCCATCTCAGCATGTCGCCATTCAATAACGACTCGCTCCCACAAACGCAGGTTTCTAGGGGAAGCCAAGTGGAAGATCAGAATTCGGGCGCTGCTCGCCTCGACACTCTATGCCTAGACTGCAGAGCAGTAAACTGGCCCACAGTCAATGTCTGGAATGATATCCAGGGCATTGGACAAGATCTGCTGCCCGGAAGTGGCGTGAAATCTAGAAAGATTATCCGCATATTCCACAATCCCGTTCGTTCCCAACTCCTGAAGTCTTCCTGTGGCGTCTGCCGCTTTGTTGCCTATCTATCCAACCCCACCACGAACAACAGATCTCAAAGCAAATCTCAATGCTGCAACATCGTTCCACGGGCATATATACTGGAAGCAGATCCTCTTTATCAGGGGGAGACTTCTGACAACACGAAGTCCGGCTATCTAAGACTGGCTGTCCGGTCACCTGCGTCGGACAGATCGCTACTGCAGGAAGATCACGACTATGTTCGTTTCCTGTTGGCCCACAAATACAAAGATAGTGAGATGTTACAGATCCGCATGCTCCATCCTTCTCAAATCTGCTTTGACTTCTTCAAAATCAGTCTAGAGATCTGCTACAATGATCATGAGGAGTGCCGCTCCAAGTCCACAGCCCCTACTGGTCTCCGACTCATCGACGTTCGTACCAAGAAGGTCTGCTGCGCTATCCCAGGCTATCAATACATTGCCTTGTCCTATGTGTGGGGCAATACCCATTCTCAAAATCCAAAGGAAGACTTTCCACCAGTCGTTCAAGATGCCATGTCCGTCACTAAAGCCCTCGGCTGTCAGTACTTGTGGGTTGATCGATATGTGAGTTATGATCAGGCATGAGTCTCTTTCACAGTGACTGACAGTCAAAACGCTTTAGTGCATTGATCAAAGCTCCTCTCACAGGATATCAATGATACAGCAGATGGACCGTGTCTATGGCAATGCCTTTGTTACTATAATTGCAGCATCCGCAAACAGCTCTCAGGATGGTTTACCTGGTATGAGCGGTCCGCCCCGCCGGCAAGAAAGGTTGAAGCTCGGTGACATCAACCTCGTTGAGCTATCCAGCGTTGGACAGGAAACTGTCAAGATGGGAAGATGGGCCACTCGAGGCTGGACGTTTCAAGAAGGCTACCTCTCTAAGAGGCGGCTCATCTTCACCGAAAAGGAAGTTCTTCTTCTTTGCAACCATGAGCTGGTGAAAGAAACCCAAACTGGAAGTGAGGCTGATCCCTACAGGGTGATGGATCTCAGCCATAGACGTGCTCGATCTGAGGAAAGCCATGCCACTCGCATCAGAAACTCCTTTTACTGGATGATGCCCACAGCGAGGGGTAGATTGAACTGGAAAGCTCGTCTTCAAGAAGAAATTGAAGAATACAGCAGTCGAGAACTATCTCACGAAAGCGACAGCCTAAATGCACTGCTCGGCATTCTTAGATACCATGAGTCTATCAGCTTCCACTGGAGTAGCCAGCGAATTTCCCATCTGTGGGGAATACCACTGAGCCTTCACGTTGGGCAACATGTCTCGTTTAATCTTCTATGGCAGAGAGGAACGAGTCGTACTCGAAGAAAAAGCTTTCCAAGCTGGTCGTGGTTAGGCTGGGCAGGATCATTTCGCTTCACAGATCTAGGCGACCAGTTGAAAGTTCTACCTCAGACCGCGGAAGAGAACATTTACGGCAAAGCAGACGATTTCGTGAATCCCGCCTCGAATCACAAGCTTCAAATACATATTCCGCATGATGGCGGAACGATCGATTTGCATCAATTTATGCGAGACCGCGACTTGGAAACTTCTCGACATGCGGATTCAAGGGAACTGATCATCCAATCTCTTGTCATTTCACTACGTCTTCGCGAAGTTCATACGCATCCTGGCTCCAACGGCAAGGCCTGGGAAGATCCATCACACTGGGAAGCTCAAAAGCCAGTGGTCGTTGCAACGTTTCCTCTCGAACCTGGTGTTTTTGTTGGTATCCCAGTGTCTTTCGATGAAGATTTTGACCCTAAGTACCACATGCGAGGTTTGGTCTTACCAAATGACGGAAGTTCATTCTTAGGAACGAGTGTGTATAGCATTATTGTTCTTCATCAAATTGAGAATGAAAAATATGAGAGAGCGGGGATCGTAAGTTTGTCTTATACAGCGGAGAGCGGATTGTTGGAGAGCGGCAACAGAAGACGGCTCGGAACCAGGAGCATAGGTTGGAATTGGGACATTCACATGGATGATCACGATCGTGTTATAAAACGTCAGACTGAGAAGGGAATTCCGCACAAGCACTTGTTTCTCAAGGGGTCGAGTTGGGAAACCGTTTTTTTAGTATAGATCAGACCTAAAGCTTTGGCTTAAAGGATTAGTCCTGTTGTATTTCAATACTTGGAGTTGTTCCTTGGTGCTGTAAAATAGTCTCAAAAGATTTTGCCCCATCCTTTGGGAACAAAACACAGTCCTAGTCAACATCTAGAACCAAAATCTTGGCTTGTGGGATTTGCATCAATATTCCCATCACAATTCATTTAGCTTATAACTGGCATGGGACTTCAAGAAGTCGTTATAACTCATCATTCGGCAAGAGCAGAAGCGACTCTGCTACCAAAACTTCATGCTTTGAATCACAAACTTTACGCAACCACTCCGACCCTGTCCAAATCCGGTGCAAATCCACCATCAACTCCGGATATGCTGATAGTATTCGGGCCATTGACATCAAATCCCGCCAACTCAACAGAGTAGCCCTTGAATACATCCGTATCCCAGTTGTAACCGCTCAAAGGGAAGCTAATCGTCACCGCAGCGCCATTGTTGATGGTCACGGACGCAGTACGCTCATTATTACCCCCGCCGAGGTACCCGATGTCACCATTGATGAAGTCGAACAGCACGTTTTGCTTAGCCTGTGAAGTCCGGATGTTTGAGAGAACGACACGGCCTCCGGAAGATCCACCCAGGTTACCGACCTTGTTGGAGGTTGCGCAACCGGAGCAAGACTGGGTGTTCGCGCCCGACGACAAGGAGCCGGTGGCAGCGGACACGTAGGTGTAGCTAGTCGCGGGAGCCGAGGCACGCTTAACGTTGGAAAGACGCAACGCGAGAGATCCGTGGGCGTTGACCTGCTTGGAAAAGCTGGTCGCACCATCAACCGTCTTTGAATCCCAGAGATCCTTGATTGTGGCAGATGTAATGTTAAGTTGCGAAAGCTGCACGTCCAGAGTGCGGGCAGTGTTGGTGAGGTCCACAACAAGGACAGCAACGTCGCCGTTGTCGAGGTCCCCAGCCCAGAGGTCCCGGTCTCCGGTCCAGCGTTGAACAAGCTGGATCGGCTTGACTGCGGGGTCTTGGTTGATGGCAATAAGGTCTTTGTTCTGCAAGAGGGCGACGGTTTCGTCTGACAATGCGGCGATATCGGTAGAGATCATGAGGGCAGACTTGAGCATTGCCCATGAGGCAAAATGCGTGGCCTGTTCGTCAAAAGTCATGCCAGTGTTGCCGACTTCCAGCAGATCAGCATCGGCAATGTGGCCTGGTCCAATGACACCCGACTTTGCGATGTGAATTGCCTGGTTGTAGATGCGGTAGACGTTGCCCCAGCCGGTGGCGATGTCATCAGACAGTCGGAATGATGTGGAAAGACCCTTGGTCCACTGTGCAGGTCCTTGGAGACCACTTGAAGAGGAGAACGGAACTCCCCACTGGCAGATAAGCATTCCGGGGATGCCGACTCGTTGAAGCTCCTTCCACATGGTTGTGAAACGAGTCACGAAGTCGTCTCTGGCAGACTTTGGCGCGTTGTCGTCCGCACTAGATCCAGAAGCATAGCAGTTGTCGTCTAACAGTCAAGTCAGCGGAATATTCTCCTGAGGAACTCCGATTCGTGTTACTCACACTTGACATATTCAGTGCCTAGACTCTTGAAGAAGTCCGCATCGACGGCCTCGTGACCGAGCGAGCCAGCGACTGGACTCGGAATTTCGGGATCACACATTTTTTCTCCGGCATCAGAGTACATTGTCCACTTCATGCCTTTCGACCGAGCGAGGTCGCTCAGCGGCTGAAGACCCTGCGGGAATGCATCCAAGTTGATCTTCAAGGCGCCAGAAGTGTCATTGCGCTGTCCGTCTCTGGAAGCCCAGCCGCAGTCGATTTGGAAGAACTTGTAGCCTGCGTCGACGAAACCTCGGCTTGCCAAAGAGTTGATCGCGGCTTCGATCTTGTCGTGGTTCGGGCTGCAAGAGACTTGGTTGTAGGAGTTCCATCCCATTACAGGCGTTGACTGGAATGATTGACTCGCTGCCAGTGGGGCGCCCAAGAGGGCGAGGGCGATGAATGTTGAGAAGACCATGATGAGAGCGCACAAGAGAAGATTCCTTAAAACGATAGACTGACGGTGTCCTGTATGGTCATGTCATGGAGGATTATGTACTTCTTATTATTCTTTGAATTTCAAGATCTCGCTATTGTTCCTGACTCTCCGGAACCCGCGCGGGTGCGCGACGACTAAAGAGTGGATTGTAGCGCACCAATCGAATGGAAGCAACTCGGGCCCATGATCCCATACACCTAGGTCAGAAGTGGTAAGAATAGCAGGTTCCGGTCATGTCAGTGCAGGGGATCTGCAATAGGAACTCGTATTGACCATCTCAATCTCACTGGCTGTATAAGTGATGCGAGCAGATAAAAGTCACATCAATTGATGGCACTCTATTAGATAACCAAGACGATCACGTTTATTCATGCGCATTGCCTTCGCATTACTTGTTCAGTTGTGAGGTCCAGGAGACATCTTCCGAGGGGCTCGGGAAGCCCCTTTTCTTGGCTTTTTTTAGCCAAAAACTGGGCGCTTGACGTCCCTCAGCCACCCCCAAACAATTACTCGTGCCGAAAGCCGTGCGCATGTGTTCGTCAGATCTACGGATGCCCCGCGTGCGAGTTCCCCGCGACCTTCATCTACTGTGCCAGCCCAGCTAGGCTATCGGTCGATGCTACCCCGGCGTTGGCGGGCGCAAGCGACAAGCTTGAATTAGACAGCAGCACGAATCATGGTTACCAGAATCATTAAGAAGAGGCAATTTTTGGGAAAGTTGTAGCAATGCTGGATCCGACGGGATAGCCCCTTAATTGTGACAACTGTGAGCTTTGCAATGAAGACACAGCATCCTGTGCTCTCGAAGATGGAAATGATTGGAGCGGGCGTATGCAAAGCCTGGTGCTCACCCAAACGCAGAAATAAACTGGATTTCTCATGCGCTAATTAGGCGGTTGAATAGTCGCCGCGGGAGAATCGCCATGGACAGAGCGTCTAAAGGGAAAGGTTGGTGGCTGATGCCATCGTAGAGTCTTGAGAATGAACAGGGAGAGGGCACTTGGTGCCCTTCTTGAAGCAGCCTCACTCGCAACCCCCCAGAGACCTATGATAGCCTTTCAACTCAGAGCATTTAGCACTAGCGCATGTCTACCGCGGGATCCAGTTACAGGGCCGCAGTGGATCACTGAAGACAGCTTAGGATGCACATGCCGGCGTTCATTGCGGGCGGACCCCCTTCCCCGTCTGTGGAGGCAAGCTTCGATCCCTTGCCGAGGGCAGCTAGACCGGACTGTCCCAAGAACGACCGAGTTCCCGAAACTCCATCCATACGTCACATCGTCGTCACATCTAGCTTGAGAATGGGTGACGAGGGACAAATCCTCATGAACAAGCCAACGTACTTGGAGGTTTGCAGCTCTTGCTATCGGGCGACCGTCAGCTCCGAGGGTGTCTAAGAAACCAGTAATGTCGAGGAAGTTTCGAGCCCACCCAGTAGGGGTTTTCACAGTAGGGGAAGAAGCAGTAAAAGCACCTCGGTCAGTGCCCTGTCCAGTAGCTTCGCAAGAAACCAGTAATAACACGACCAAATACATCTTGAGGCGTTGCACGTTCAATAGGACCGGCCTGACTTGATCTCACTGCTGTTGGCCATAGCTCGGCCTGTGAGCCCCTCATCAGATCTGATAAGATGGACTGTAGAGAAAAACATTTTGGCAGATTTTCTGCCCTACAGAATATCGATATGAGAAAGTTTCGGCTAAGAACGCTTGATACCACTAAAAGCACACATTGGCCATACCAGGAAGTGGTGTTGAACAGCTCATGATCTGACAGAAAGGTAAATGGGCAGATTAACAGCCTTACGATGCGAAACAAACCAACAGATGTGTCTCGTAGAGAGAGCCTCCCCTCTTAACGCGGAAGCTTCACCTGCGCAAAATTTCGTTTCCGGCTGTTACCATGTCACCACGTCGAGGTGCCAACAGCTAAGAGATACCTCTGTGATGTGATGTGGTTTGAAGTTGCTTTCGGTTGAGTCCCAACACGCGTCGCAAGCGGGACAACCGGAGTGGTTAAAGGTTGTTGACACACCCTGCCTCCCAACTGTCACCAGCTTACGATGCAAAGTTTTCTGATACGAAATTATGACGAGACGTTGATTTGGTTTCCAAGAGACGTCCCCAAATAGCTTCAAGTGAGGCAAGATAGAGGGGGCAAGAGGGGTTTCATGGTTTGAGAAGATAAAATGTGGGAGTGCTACATCGTTCCTCGGTCTTTTTGGGCGAGGTACCACAACGACATCAACCGCTACTCTCCGAAGATGAAGAAGCTGGGCGGAGGCGGGCCGTTTCCCATCTCTCATGCAGAACTACTCCCCGAGATGGAGCCTTTCCGGAAGATGCTGACCAGAACCTGGACCTCCGTGGGCGAGAAGGTGTCAGATAACATTTACGATGGGGAAATGAACGGCTTCACGCACGGCGTCGACACAATCAATCGCAGTCAGCGATCTGAAAGCTACCTGTTCCTCAAGAACAACCCGACGTCACAATCCTCGCAGGGACTCATTCGAAACGTCTCATTATCGACCGCGTCAACCGCACCTGCAAAGGCATCATTGTCATCGACCGCTCTGGGAACGAGATGAGCTTCTTCGCCAGACGGGAGATCATCGTGTCACAGGGCGTGTTCGAGACACCCAAGCTTCTCATGCTCTGTGGCATCGGCCCGAAGCACCATCTAGACAAACACGGAATCGACACTGTCATCGACTCGCCCCACGCAGGCCAGAATCTCCTCGATCACCCTGGCGTCCCCTTCGTCCTGCGCGTCAAGGATGGTTACGGCATGGATGACCACCTTCTTCGCAAAGGTCCCCAGCATGACGCGACTGTTTCTGCATTCAACAGAAACCAGTCTGGGCCCACGGGATCCGGCCTCCTGGAAATGGTCGGGTTCCCGCGTATCGACAAGTACCTCGAGCGAGATCCGATATGCCGCCAGGCAAAAGCGGCAAACCGTGGCGTGGACCTCTTCTGCCCCGAAGGACAGCCTCACTTCGAGCTCGACTTCGTGTGCACGTTTGGCACGGCATTCTAATTGCACCATCCCATCCCCAAGAGTGGACAACACATGAGCGTCGTGGTCGACCTGGTCCGCCCTGGTCCGACCCGGGCGAGGTGACTCTAAACAGCGCGGATCCCTTGGAGCAGCCCAACATCAACCTCAATTTCTTCGCCAATAATCTCGACATCATCGCCAGGCGCGAGGGCATCCGGTTCTCGTACGACCTTCTCGAGAACTTGAGGGTTGTGGATGCGTCCGTGATCCCTGTGATTCCAGATTGTCGTATCCAGAACTCTGTTTATATGGTTGCGGAGAAGGGCGCTGATCTCATTAAGGAGGGCCACAACGACATCTACCAGATGAGGTCTGGATTCCAGGGGGCCCGTCTTTAGTTTGGTTGCGGGCCGAGTCAGTACAGAATGATTATTGCGTAATACGTCGTGTAGCCTGCCATCAACGACATGGTTCATCAGAAAACCAATCAAGCCCTCACTATGACAGAGAAAAATAAATTATATTATCACTAAGAGGTTCTTGAATTAGACTCAAGCATGCTGGTAAAGCGCAATGCCCGCCGTGAATCCCGCAATGTTGTCCTTGTACAGCGCGACGTCCTTGCCGTGCCGCGTGACCATAGCCTTCGTCCCGACAATGTTGAGGTTGTACGTCTCCAGGTGCTCCGTCTTGGTGCAGTTGTTCGGCGAGTCGCGGATGTCGTAGATGCGCTGCTGGCACCGCGCGCCCGCTCCGACCTGGCAGCACGCCGTGCTGTAGTTGTTGAAGAAGGAGTACAGCCCCGCGCCGAAGATGGCGATGTTGCGGCTGCCGATGACGCGCAGACCCCAGGCCATCTCACAGGGGGCCTCGCTGGTGTCCTTGCCCTTACAGTCGGCCACGAAGTCTGGGTCGTGGTAGCCCTTGACGCGAGGGAAGGGGATGGAGGCGACCGGGTTGGGTTGGTAGTATCTGGTCATCGTTAGCTTGCCTGCTGTCTGCAAAGTTTTCGAAATACTCACGGCGTCTCGGTCTGGATCATGCCCATGTAGATATCCCTCGTCTGGTAGAGCTGGTACTGGTACAGCGTGTGATGCTCAACTCCAGAAGCAGAGAGCCAGATCTTGCCCGCGGTCGCCTCAATCAGTAACCCTCTGCCCGCGTAGATCGTTACCTGGGTGTACGTCGGGTCCTCCAGATCGTGGTCCGCGACCCACAGCCAGCAGTTCTCCATGAAAAGGTTCGACGCCGGCTTGGTGATGTGCATGCTCATCCACGCCGCGATGCAGTTCTTGTCGAGCGTGTCCGCAGTCACAGTAGCGTTTGGCGTGGTCGGACACTCCTTCAGCTGCTGCTGCGTGCCGGCGTACCCGCCCACGCGGATGTGCACATCCCACATGCCGGCCGGCTCGCCGAGCGTGTTGAGGTTGTACTCGACAACCTTGGCACCCGGCGCGGCCCCGCGCGTCGAGACGATCATGTCGGACCACTCGATCGTCCCGCAGTCGCCCGGCAGCGCGACCTTGACGACGGGGTGCGGGCTCGAGATGTCCTGGAACTTGGGCCCGCCGCCCATGATGATGGACGCGAGCGCCTCGCCGACGATGCGCGCGCCGGCGGGTATGAAGACGGTGTCGGAGACATAGTAGGTTCCAGCGTCGACGAAGGCGACGAGCGAGCTCTTGGAGGCGACGTAGTTGAAGAGGTTGTTCAGCGCGACGGTGTCGTCGGTGACGCCGTCGCCCTTGGCGCCGAAGGTGCGCGCAGAGACGAAGCAGTCCGCGGAGAGGGTCTCGTAGTGCGGCTTGGAGCGCTCGTAGTACTTTGTGCCGTTGGCGGTGGTGGCGACAAGGGCGTTGTAGACGGGGAAGTAGCCCGTGTCGCTGCCGGTGTAGTTTGTAGGGCCGGAGGGCGTGTAGATGTGGCCCATGGCGAAGCCCTGGCTGACGACGGAGCCCTTGGTGCCGGAGATGATGGTGTTGTTCTGGGGTCCTTGGAGGATTGTGCCGACGTTGGAGAAGGCGACATTCTCCATCATCAAGGTGCCGGCGGCGATGGGGACGATGGAGGCAGAGCGCGGAGTGCGGATCGCGGTCTCGACGTTGACAAACTCGGAGTCGATGAGCGTCACGGAGGAGGTGCTGTTGTCCTGGATGCGGATTCCGGTGCCGCAGTTTTCGACGTAGATGCTCTTGTACGTCCAACCCCAGTCCCAGAGCTGGTTGATGGCGATCTGAGAGTTCCAGAAGCGGCTGGTAGACTGTTAGCAAATGGTGCCAGGTGAGGGTGACGATGGGTTACTCACAGGTTGCGGGCGGTGTACTGCTGGTTGCCAAAGTTGGCGCCATACTGTCCTCCGTAGAAGTCCAAGTCGTTGAGGAGACCACCGGAACCTTCCTCGATGAAGATACCGGTGTGCTTGCTGTCAGCGCCGGCGGCAAGGCGGAAGACGCAGTTGGTGATGGCGGTGGCCTGGGATGAGGGCCAGTGGATTCCAAGAGCGGCAGAAGAGGCGGGGATGGCGGTGGTATCGAAGATGAGGTTGCGGACCTGTTAAATGTAAGCGACAAGCTCATCCCCAGTGACTTGGATCCCGTGGCTTACCTGTCGGAAGAAGACGTTGGTGGCACCCCAGCTCAACCCGTTGGCACCGTACTTGTTGCCGTCAATGAGACCAAGGTTGTTAGTGACGTCGAAGTTGGCAGCAGCCTTGATCACGGGTCGGTCTGTCGGGTCGCCGATGATTTGGGTGTAGAAGTAATCGACGATTGAACCAGAGATGAGATACGTGCTGTCATATCTTAGCAATGAATCCCTTGCTTGTCACTCATAGCACTCACCCGGAAGGGAAGTAGACAGTCGCAGGTGATGTCGTCTCACCCTTGCACGTTCCCGGCGCACATCTTTTGCCGGATGATATGGCGAGGTTGATCGCCGCCGTGTCGTCGGTAACACCGTCACCCTTGGCCCCGAAGTCCTTGACGTTGCGGAAGACCTGGTACTTTGGATCGGCGTTGTACGCTGAGATACCCTGGTGCTTGACACCCTCCATCCAATATGTCGCCTTGGCGACGGCCGCAGCGGCGAGCCAGAGAGCGGTGGTGAAGCGCATTACGACGAGTATACAATAAACAATTATACAAAGTGTGAACTGGTACGATTGGGATGAACGACGATGAGTAAAAGAGAGGCTGTGGTGTGATGGTGAAGTGAGTGTTCGATGCCACAAAAAGAGTGTGTATTCCCCTTTCTACCCAAGAGGCGGGGGTTGGCTGAAAGTCAAAAAGTGAACGAACGATTCCGATGAGGAATCAATAAATGGCAGTGTTAACGAAAGAATGGACGACGACGATCCTAGCAAATTATACACATTTGATCTCCCGTCAGTACAGATGAACCCAAAGTCGACGTGGTATCAACTCGATGGTCCCGAGGTGAGCAGAACTCGAGAACACAAGCGAGCGTGGTCAAGGGGGAAGGGAAACCCTTGATCCTTTATCAGAGTTAAGCTGATATGGAGGGGTTCGGGCTGGGCACGCATATCAGCGATGGCCAGCCCTGCGTGTTAGTCCGGTTGGTTCCTGCGTCCGCGCCGTTCAGGAACCACGCCAGCGGGATAAACGGCCTGCTGCTGATCACCCATTGCCCAGTGAGGGAAGGGATAGGGCGGGGGCAAGATACGGCAGAAAGGGCTGTCTCATTTGTTTTAGTCTGACTCTGTTCGCGAGCGTGCGGGACGGACGGTCTTCTCCTCCCTGCTCCATTCCGAGATGACACCACTTTGATGCCCGCTGCAGAGAGCATCCGGGAAGCGCGCGGTGACGATGTCAGACGTGCAGACGTCGGGAATTGGGGAGGGCCAGAGCAGACACCTTGATGACAAGTCCTCGTTGCCCGACTCGGCCTAAGACGGGCCAACCTGAATCAACGGGGCGCGAAGCTCGTCAGCCAGCGAGGACGCCATTTTCCAACAATTTCCTGCCGAAAGGGTAGCTCGTCGTCTGTGGCTGGCTGTCTAACTCACGCCAAAAGGTTCAAAAAAGAATCTGGCTGCCTTTTCCTTGCTAATCGGTACTCTTCACCCACGCGACGACGCGAAAAGGTTGGAGGTGTGCTAGGCTGGACTGGGATTGGAGCCGGGCCTTGGTCGCCCTGGGAAATGATGAATGAGGGGGAAATGAGGAGACGCCTCCCCGGACGCGCATCACTTCTGGGTATGGGCGAGCTAGGCAATTGAGGCTGCAGCTTGTCGTTTATGCCCCCGGCCTGCTTTTGGATGTCGAGAAGGTTTTCTTCACTCCTCGTGTTCGCTGCGGGAGGACTGCATACGGCCTCCATTGGTCATGGAAGGGAGTAGTTGATAGCCGGTTACACGGGCGAGGAATTCCGCCTGTCCCATGTTCATGCAGAGAGACTCTGTCAAGCAATGAGGCGTCTAACTTCCCCTGACTCATCATGGCTTGGGGTGAGTCCAATGTTTCGCCAGTCAGAAGTCTATCGAAACTCACCGGCAAAAAGAAAAGAAGGGCGACACAAGAACGGCTTATTGTACTGTAAGTTTGGCAGGAAACAAGCAGGCTTCGAGGGCCCAATTCAAGCTGCCATCGACGGGCAATTGACTTTCCCACCGACGGAGCAGACCCCTGACATGACGGTGCATGGAGGGGTAACATCGCTAACCCTGGCTTGCAGCTCCAAATATCAGCTGAAAAAGCCAAGATCCAAAGACATTTGGCCGCTGTCGGATTCTTCGTTTCCAACGCAAAATCGACTGTTGCCAAATTCCCCAGGTTGTCGAACACAAATGGAAAGGGAGAAGTAGGGTGGGTTTCACGGCTTTTCCAACGTACGCTAAACCTCGTCCGAGAAATGCAGCGTCCGCCGATCTGCTCCGTTCACCAGTCTCGGCCGACGCGTGGCTGGCACGCGGGGAAATGGGCGCCGAGACGGACGAAGCCGATGTCACCAGCCCAAGTATACAGCGATGGAAACCCCCTCCTCAGATTGGTAAGTGCAAGATGAAAATGAAGCGTTATTATTTCGTCTCCGTATCGGTGGCCGTTGTTGAACGCCGCCTCACGTTATGTAATTCCAGTCGTGACACCGGGATAGATAGATAGTTGCCGGGAAGATGGCGATGCCCATGATGAATGTATCCCATCCCCCGTCCCAAAACGCCCAACCATGCCGCCCGTCTAACCCCACTCTTTGCCTTTGTACCCCCTCCTTCAGATCTTACACGCATTGCGAGACGAGTCGACCTCAAAGGGAAGAGGCCTTCAAGCCCTCCTCCAGCGCGACCGTCTGCCCGAGCTGCTTTGCCCCGAGGGGCGCCTTCTCGCCCGCCCTCTTGCGGAGGACGTTCTCGATGAACGCCTCGCCGGCCTTGTAACTGCTGCGCACCAACGGACCGCTGGCGCAGTACAGGAATCCCATGTCGAGCGCCCTATGCTTCCACATGTCGAACTCGTCCGGCGTCACGTACCTCTCGACCTTGAGGTGGCGCTTCGTGGGACGCATGTACTGCCCGAAAGTGACGACGTCAACGTTGGCCTTGCGGAGTTCTGTGTGATACCTCCAGTCAGCAAATCTCGAACCCTCAAACACAAGCATGGGAAAATTTCAGACTTACCCCTCAACGCGTCCATGACCTCGTGCTCCTGCTCGCCCAAGCCCATCATCATACTCGTCTTCGTAATCAGCTCCGGCTTGACCTTCTTCGCCTGCTCCAGCACGCTCAGACTCTGCCTGAACGTCGCCCTCCTATCTCTCACATACGGCGTCAGCGCCTCCACCGTCTCTACATTATGCGCAAACACGTCCAGCCCGCTCTCCGCCACAATCTTCACCATGTCCAAATTCCCCATGAAGTCGCCCGTCAGCGCCTCCACCAGCAGGCTCGCCTTCTTGCTCTTGATCCGGCTGATCGTCTCCGCGAGGTGGTGCGCGCCGCTGTCCGGCAGATCGTCGCGGTCCACCGTCGTCAGCACCACGTACCCCAGCCCCCACCGCGCCAGCGCCTCCGCCGTGTTCTCCGGCTCGTGCGGGTCCAGCGGCGCCGGCGCGCGGTTCGTCTTGACGCTGCAGAACCGGCACCCGCGCGTGCACGTGTCGCCCATGAGCATGATCGTCGCCGTCGCCGCGCTCTTGCTGCTGCCGCCCCAGCACTCGCCAATGTTCGGGCACTTGGCCTCCTCGCACACCGTGTGCAGCCCCAGCCCGCGCAGGTCCTTCTTGATCGCCTTGAAGTTCTCGTTGCCCGCGGGTATCGGCGTCTTGAGCCACTCGGGCAGCCGCGTGATGGTGCGCTTCTTGCCCGTCGGGCCCGTCACCTCGACCGTGCGGATCTCGTACGCCTCCGCGGCCGAGAGCGCCGCCGCGTCGCTCTTCTGCTTGCCGGCGATGAAGTCGTCGAGCGAGGCGACGGTGCGGTCTTTGAAGTACGTCGGGCGGCGGGCGACCGACTTCGGCTGCGGAGCCGAGGGGGGTTCGGGGACGGTGGCGAAGGCTCGGTAGCCGCCGCCGAGGGCTTTGCGGAGGGGCGCCTGGATGCGCTTCAGCGGCGCTGCTACGGGTGAGGCCATCTTGTGTTTGATGTGTTGTGCGAACTTCCTCCGCCAAGGCAGGTTGGTGTTGGTGGTGGTGGATGGCGGGTTGAAGTATGGGAGAGCTACCAAGCAGCTGCGATGGGGCAAAAATTGACTGACGATTAGAGCTGAGATAAGGAAAAAGGCCCTGCAGCTCGGATTGGGACCCGACGGCCCGGATTGAATCGGCATAAGGACTGCACCGGCCAATCACAGGCGGCAGCGCGCCTGACAGCGGCAAATGCTGATTAAGGCGGGGGCCACTGGAACCGCGCTCAACGGCGTCCCGGGGCTTTCCGCCCCAACGGATTCAGAGTCACCAAGCCTTTCCAATCAAGACGTTCGGATTGACAACCGAAAGACCGTGTTGGTCTTGTTTCGGGCATTTACAAGCGACTGGGATCTGAGTAAGGCGATGCAGGTGTGTGTGAGTGTCAATTGACAGTCCATTCAGCTATGCTATGCTGGTAAACTCCCCTCTCATGTCCTGGGTAACTCCTCCAATGTCCTCCAAACCCTCCTCTCCTGGCAAGATCATGGAACCAAGCCGTCAGTCAAGTCAAAATCGTCCGCCCGTCCGAATATCAAAGCAAATCCATCGTTTCCGCCCTCGCGACAGCACGTCTGGTCGCATCAAGATAAGGCCGGTGCTCGAGAGCAGCGACCATGACCATGAATTCCCCAGCTATGTCTGCGCGAGCATACAACAATAGGGGTATCAACAACTCGAAGAGAAATGTGAAACTTTTGTGTTCCAACACGAAAACTCCGTAAAATCCCTAATCATCCGTCCTGATCAGTCCGACTCAAGGCCCTCCGAGGAGTGACGATGAGACGACGTGATCTCGTAAATTGATTTCCAGCCAGCAAGCACGCTTGCATGCGCCGTGCGGTCCCGAGTGGTGAAGCTGCCAGAACGGGTGATCCGCGCTCTGAAACAGCATCGTCTCATCTCCCCTGTTCATACACAGACATGAGATGAACGGAGCGATGAGATCGAGACTTGCGACAAGCGCAAAACGCAGCCAACGGCGCATGAAGGTTAGAGATCGACTTCGCATTCCATGCGACCCTTGTGCTGCTGGGGAAGAATCGAAACATTAATAATTGTAGTCGGCAGGGCCGAGTGCGCCTCTCAGCTGAAGGGCACACGACGCGCCGTTGAAGTAAAGAGTGAAAATAAAGTGTCGTGGCAAGTGTCCCTAATGACAAGTCTTTGCGTCCTTTCCTGCAGGTTGGCGATGCAAGCATCGCACATATTGGTCGAAGAGGAGTAGGGTATTGGTCGTTGATGCCGTCAACAAGTGGTATCCGATCTTTACAATCGTTCAGGTCGTAGAAATGTGGTGGCGTCGGAGCGATGTCCGGCGCGCGAGACAAAAGAAATGTTTGAAAAGATGTCGCATCGAAGAAATCGGTGTGGCAGTAAGGCGTGGTTGCTCATCCCCCAAAACCACATCGCAATCCGTCGACGACCTCGTCCGTCCTCTTCTCCTTCATCTCTCTCCTCCTCCTCTCGTCTCCTTGTCCTCCGTACCCTCTCTTCTGCGATCGCAGCTTACAAGAAAGCAGCAGCGATCATGCCAGCGACACCGGCAAAGGCAAGGCTGCCGGCGTTGACATTTGAGCCGGCGCTGGCCTTGGAAGAAGTGGCAGCGGGGGCAGCAGAGGTAGCGGTGGCAATGACGGAGGCTCCGGAGCCAGTAGGCTTGACAGTTGCAGTGCTGTTGCCGGTGCCGTAGGTCATGGTAGTGGTGTGGACGCGCGAGAGGGTGACGGTCTTGGTCTGGGTAGCGGTGGAAGTGATGGTGGTGGTGCTGTCTGTCTGGGCAAGAGCCAGCGCAGGCAGGAGTGCGGCGAGAATCGTGGTAACCTTCATGGTGAACTTGTTTGGCGTTGAGATTGGTTAAATCGTAGTGTATGCTGTCAAAGCTGGTGCTGGTAATGTTATGCGCTGGTGAAGGAATGAGTCCCGAGTCTCTCCACCAATATGCGAATGATGCTGTTGATCAAATCTGTCGAGTATATTCTGTTTCTGTAAATCCTGCTGGTTGCTATCGTGGAGACGGCAGCCGGGTAGTGATATATGTGCGTTGGCGCAAAAGAGTTGTTTTCAAGGCCCCAGGGTCTGATGACTGGTGTTGGTTCAAGTTTTGAGTCTGAGCGATGTGGCTCGTGTAAGGTGCCGCTGGGGTGTGTGCGAGAAGACAGAGTCTATTCGCGGATAGAAATAGGCAGGAATGAGTGTCAGTCTGAATACTTGCGCGGCGAGTAGTCAGGTTTGGTCGGAGGAGTGAGTGTTTGTTTCAACGACTGTGCGTGATGGGAGCGAAGGTGAAGTAGAGACTTTGCCAACGAAGTCTGTGGGTTTTTTGCTCGGGGGGGGAGTGGTTTGAATAAGAGAGTCCGCGGAGGAGGGGGGCCAACGGTGAGGAAGTGGACGGGACGTGGGTTTTGGGTGTGGGGAGGGGACAGGGCAGGCTGGAAAGAGACGAGAGAAATTGAGTGACAAGACCCGACAGACGATGCAGGCGCCAACAAGGAAGGCGACGTCTGGAGCAAGAGCCAAGAGCGGCCCAGGAGACGCAGAATGGAAGGCGCCCACAACCACGACGAGGAAGGCACAACCTTAGCTGTGGTCCGTGGAAGGAAAGTGGAGGTGCTCGGCCCTACCCTCCTGGTCCCCGTCGCTCGCTCTTGCCCTCAACTCACCACCTGGTCACCTCACACTCACACAGTTTGCTGGGCTCCTCCTTGCGCCAGCCAGTCAGATTCTTTTATTGTCCCTGGCGCCATCCACCTTGTGCATCTTTCTCTCACTCTTTCCGTCTCTGCTTCCAGTTCCCCGGGGTGGGCAAGAAGAGGCGGTAGGTACGACCCAGTGACACAGAAAGAGGTTTGCGGTTGCTGGTTGGACCAGGGCTGCGGCTGCAAAAGGCCAATGGCGCACGAGAGAGCGCACTCGGCCGGCAGGGCACGGCGAAGTAACTGCAAGGTACCCGCGTCTGCTTCGGGGAGGCTGCAAGAGACGAATCAAACCTCAAAGCGCATCTCAGCAAAAGTATTGGCTACCTTGATGGCGGGCGAAAACGCCCACAAACTCAATGTATTGACGACTCGCTCGACTTGCAGGGGTCTGGATCATGACGGGAAATTAAGGCGCAAAATCACAGCGTTGCGTTCGTTCAACTTGGACCACGTACCCTTGCGCAACTCTGCCTTACTGGCTGCACTATGACATTGCACCATTGGATTATGAAGAGGCATTGTGCGTGCTGCAAACAGCCTCGTCCATTGCGACAGCAACCAAGGATCGGCAGGGCGTCGCGACTGGTCCTGGCTTGCCCGTCCTCAGGCAGTGACAGCGCTTTTCTTAGAAGTCTTCTTTTTTCTGCGCGCTTCCTCTCAGGCTGCGCATCACGTCAAACCGCCGACGACGACGATGCTGACGGGCACATCCAATAATAGTGCCTTCTTTTCTTCTTCCAGAATGGGATATGGTCTGAGCAGAACAGTCGGGCAATCGCCGACTGATTTGCAACCTGACCAGTGTTGGCGGGCTTGACTCTCCACTCTGCATGTCGGCCGAGACACAAAACGGTCCATTTCTCCATTGTCTGGACTCCAGTCTCGGGCGAGAAGAAAGCCATTGTGGTGGGTGGACTAAGGTAACTAACGGTGACAATCTTATTGGCAGTCTTAAGACGCTCAAAAAATGAAATGGCATAATCTGCTGGGTGGTCACTCGACACCGAGTTCGACGCCGTGTCCGTCCAGATTGGAACCAAATCGTCGTGCCGCGCAGCAACCGCGAATGCCTCCATTCCCAATGCAGAGGGATGTGAGTGGGCTGTTCATAAAAAGAGCGAATTGCACAATTTCCCCGAGTCGAAATGGCTCAGTGTCCCGCACCGACGCCATTGGTGATTGGCTTTTCCGGGGCCGCCCTGAGATGAGACTCGACGCTTGCCAGGCTGTTCCTGCATTGGTTTCTCTTTGGAAAGACAGGTACCTGACGCTAAGCCCTGGATGGCCGGCTCGGTCTTGCCTCGAGGTGCTCTCTCTCTCATTTTGCAGTGCGCTCCTGCTAAAAAAGATTTCTCATCGCGCAGGACCTAACCAGGAAAGCGCTCTGCGACCTCCTCCTTCCCAAGCAGTATTTTGACGGTCTGTGCTGCCCCTAACGAGGAAGGAACCCAGCACGAGGTCTCTGGCAGGTGCGCCTATCCGTACCAATACCTGCCCTGACGGATACTCCTGGCCATCAAACAATCAAAATCGACCGGGAAATGTCATCATCTTCGTTCCTATTCCCCGTGTCAGATCACGCGGAGAAGCATTTCCCTAGTGCCGATTATCCTTTGCTCTCAGTGGGCCCCCAGTCGCCAGCGCAATTTGGCTTCTAGCGCCCGTCTCTCACGCATCCTCCTGCAGCGCACCACGCGACCAACAACGCAGCAGCAGCAACACCAAAGCCTGCAGCTCTCTGGACGGTCTTCGACGATCCACGGCCTGGGCAGTCAGCCAACTCGCCGGGAACCATCCCATATGTCTCGGTCCCATCTCATTCTCGTGTCCATCCTCGCCCGTCCGAACTCCCGTCATCTCACGGCGGTCGCTGCCATCCCATTTGGGGGCTGCAAATGCAAATCCTCGGATGAAACCCGACAAATAGCTCCACCGCCGTCAGCCTGGTGTGGAGAGCCTGAACCGAAGGAGATCAGGCCGGAGATCATCACTGCACCCAGCAGTGAACCCCTTGAAGCCTCTCACTGTGGGACGTCCCATGTTCAACCTGAAAGGCTTGACACTTCCTCAGGGCAACACCTGGCCCCAGCTCGCATCTTCTCCCACTTCGCGCGCCCGGAGCGAGTCGCTCGCTACGGCCTGGAGCCATCGCGGCCCCTATTCCGACAAGCTCTTCGACAGGCCTCTGTCGCAACAAGGGCCGTCGTGGCTCCCCTTCTGTGCCACCAAGACCTCACCAGTGTCTGCGG